GGAAAAATTAATTGACGTGGGCTTTAATGTTATTATGCCTGGCTTGTCTGGTCACATTTCTTCATTTTTAATTTTTTTTTTTTTTTTTTTTTACTTTTTGAAAGGCATTTTATTACCGTTCACAGGACCAGCTGCCAAAACTATGGGTATAAACAAGAAAGCAGGTGCATAAATAATACCCCAGCAGGACTGGAGCTTTCTGTGTTTCAGGGCTTAAGTAACTGAAGTCTGGGGAGCGGAGCAGACGCGAGCGGGCGGGTCAGGTACGAGCCCTGACACAAAGGGGGAGCACAGCCTGAACTGGAGATCTCATTGCCATGCTGATGCTGCAGCGGGTGTCAGGATGGATGTTCCCGCCTGTCAGCACCGCTGGGGCTCGGGCAGCTCCCACGCCGGGCCCGGTGGGATCACGGACCCCCAGCCATGCTCGCAGTGGAACACGCTGTGTGCGTAGGGGGACTGATCCTGCACTAACAGTGACTTGTAACTCGGGGCTGTTCTTGCTGAGCAGCAGGAATGAGGTCTAAGCAGAGCTGTATCGATGTGATGTGGGCCATGTAAATCTCCTCCTTTCTCCTCTCCTTGCTTGTCTCCTGTTCTTTGGCATTGCTGTGCGGGACAAAAGAGCCCCGGTGATCCCCAGCTTCCCAGCATCTGTTCATGAACTCTCTGGTGCTCTGGCTGCTCTAAGAGCAGGACAAGGCTGTGCCAGCTGCAGAGGCTCCCCAGCCTCGCTGACAGTACGGGCACAGCTCGGGCAGAGGGAGCGCGGCCGATGAGATGAAGTGACTCGCTGCACACCATCAGGTGACCCCCAGACAGCCTGGCTGTGCCTGCCTCTGCTGAAGGTGGGTTTGACTCAGGAACCGTCTGTGAGGTGGTGATGGAAGCGGTGGCACCTGTGGCACTGCCCTGGCTGTGTGGGAGTGGGCACCCCACTGTGGCAGGGTCCCGGTCTGCCTATCGGAGCCCTGCGGGTCTCACCCCGGCATTAGCCTGGCTTTACCCTCCCTGGCTGGGGTACAGTCGCCTGTTTTCCTCATTTCCCTGCGCACACGGGCTCGGGGAGCGAGCCCTTTGCCCGAGTAAGCTGCTCTCGTGTGATGCTGCTGACGAGTGACGTGCTCGGCGTGTGCGGCCGCAGCTGCCACACCGAGCACTGTGCACAGCCTGGGCTGTGGGAACGGCCCTGCCAGCAGGGACAGGAGGTGGCTCTCGTGGCAGTGGTGTCGTCATCTTGGCTATATTTTACCAAGGTTGACGTAAAACCCTCAAGTGATGGCAAAAGCATGAAATGTAGTTGTGTAAAAAACCCAAAATACGCACCACGGGAGCACTGGCATTGGATATCTGCAGTCTGGTTTCTTAATAGTGTTTATGGCTTTTTACCTGTTCTTTTACAGTATTTTAATACTTTTATTTTTTCAGTCACCCTCTCTGAACGAAGTTGCTCTTGTTGCTGGAGTACCGTGGCAGGATGGGCTGGGCTGAGCTCCGTGGAGCTGCCTGCCCACGGGCCTGGGCAGCTTCTGCAGCTGAACAAGACTTGGGGTCAGAGGAGGTTTTTCATAGAATCACTGAATGATTTAGGTTGGAAAAGACTTCCCAGATCATCAAGTCCAACCTTTGACCAATCCCCCCCTTGTCCCCCAGCCCAGAGCACGGAGTGCCACGTCCAGTTGTTCCTTGGACACCTCCAGGGTGGTGACTCCACCACCTCCCTGGGCAGCCCCTTCCAGTGCCCTTTCCGTGAAGAATTCTTCCTGAATTCTTCTTTTTGGTGTCAGTAAGGTGTGTTGGAGGATGTGTCCTGCACCATGGGATGTCAGGTGTCTGGGCTGGCATCATTTTGGGGCCTGTTGGTGCACATTAACCAGCAGATGAATGGAGTGGAATGACTCCTTTTTCCCATTGGATGCCAAAGGAGGGTTTTTCACCTGAAGGTCATGGATACATGTCTCAGCTTCCTTTTATTCTGGCACTTGTCTTGGAGCCTCTTGTTTGGGGGCATCTGTTTGTCTCTTACTTTATTTTTTTCCCTCTTCTTTGTCTTTTCTTTTACAGAAAAGATTATTCAAATGAATATTCAGTTTTATTCATTTGAATAAAAAACCCAACCGTTTGACTCTGTTAAATGCTTATCTCTTAAATAGAGCTTGTTAGCTTCCAATAATAGCTTCATTCAGAAGGATGCAGTATAATTTCATTTTAAAACGTGTGCTCCTTGACAACCGGAATCCTATTTCTGTCACCGTTTTCAACAGCCGCCTTTGTTTTGGGTTAATCTTTTTCATACACTTTCTGAGAACGATTTTTTTGTTGACTCTTAGTCCCTCTCAGAAGAAATAATTGTCTATTTAGTCCAGGAAGGGTTCTGAGAGTTTTGGTAATTTAAAAATGAGCGTGCATTCATTATGGGAACTAATAAGTCATATGTGCAGGGGGATCTTTGTGTGGGTGCAGTTATTAAAAGTTGGAATCTGATATTCATAAAGTGAAACAAGAAAAGATTTATGGAATGGGTTGGATTGGAAGGGACCTTAAAGTCCATCCAGTCCCAACCCCGTCCAACCTGGCCTTGGACACTTCCAGGGATGGGGCAGCCACAGCATCCCTGGACAACCTGTGCCAGGGCTGAGGTCTCCCTTAAGAGCCCTGTTCCTCATCACTTCTATTAAGTTTTAGTTCTGGGTTGTATGACCTCTTGGGGGTTGTTCATATGAGGAGCAGTGGCACCTCTGGAAGTGCTGTGGGATTTAAGTGCCTGTTTACCTGCAGATGGAAATCCTGTGGTTGTCCCCAGTAAGTTGGAGGTGTTGGGAATCACAGAGATAAGATGTTGTGAGCCTTCAGCTCTGGATGCAGAGCCCTGTGTGGGCACCGGACCTGACCCTGCAAACCCCTACCCGTCCAGAGAGGATGGAAAGGGAGGTGGTGGTTGGTATTTTCACATTTCCAGTCTAACCAAGTGCCACAGATCTTTTTAGAAACCTGCAAATGCCTGCTGACACCTACAGATTGGTTTTTTTGTTGTTATAAACTGGAAGTGCAGGGAGCTGGCTGGCTATGTGGTTTAATGAGACAAATGATTTTTTGACAGACCTGTCTTTAAGGCATATGGAGTGGGAAGAGAATGGGAAACTCGTTTCCGAGTCCAGGCGTGTAATGACTGCAGTGGATTTCCTTGCAGTGTTTGGCATATTAGGGCTAATCTCCTGAATTCCCTCTGCCCTCCATCCTGGCACCGAGACCTGACACAAGTTGTGGGAGAAATCCTCAACTGCAGCCCTCGCTAATGACTTACTAATGACGAAGATGCTGCTGGTGCTCAAACAATTAATGACTTGTAGCCCTGGCCTGGCCATCTCGTGGCACCAGGCAGTCGGTCCCCGGCCTCCTGCGGCTCCCAGCTCCAGGAACTGCTCTGGGAATTGCCCAGTGCAGCCTGCACCAGCATTCCTGGGATGCCAGATTCAGGCAGTTAACCACAAACATTTTAGTTTTAACTACGGGTCTGTTTAAGGTGGATTTAAATGGAGTAATTTAGAAGGCAAATGAAAGACTTGAGTTATGTAAAAAAATTCAGGCTGCTGCCTGCTCTAAGTGCAAAGCAAAGCAGTGTTCTAAGCCTGGTGTGCTGTCAGATGATGTGTTATGCCTTGGAGAAGAGCTAGAAACAATTCCTGGTGGGTTTCCCCCCAGTGAGAGGGTCTGAAGAGGGATGGGAGCATTCCCCATTGCTACACATACTGTGCACTCCTGCAAGAACCATCTGCTCAGACCTCACCCTGAAACGCTTCCAGTGTCGAGTACTGTAGCCTGCAAAGTGTCTCCTGCACCTGGAGGTTGCAAGAAACCCCTATGTATTTTTAACACTTTCTGCTGTGCGCCACTGAAGCAAATTCAGTGTGTGTTTAGCGGGATGCAGCTTTCAATGCAGTTTGGGGGAATGGAGTTCATCCTGTTATTACATTTTTGAGATCTCATTAGCTTAATTTGTGTCGGTGTTGACTCATCAAGCCTCACGTAGCTCATGAGCTTGGGGTTTGTTCATTAGCTTGCTTTTTTTTCCTGAAGGAAGGAGCAGGGAACAGGGCAGTGTGGAGCTGTGGTGGGCTGCCAGATTCCCTCAGTGCAGCCCCAGCAGAGCAGGCAGTGAACAGCTACAGGCAGGCAGCAGGCATCAAACAGCCTCAACCAGCCCCGGTCCGTGGCTCTTTGAAGCACCAGCGGAGAAGAGAGGAACGATTAGATCAGAGGCCTTAAACGTAATGGGTTCCTGGAGGCCTCAGGATGTCCTGATGAGGTATTAGAGGAAGTAATTCAGGAAGAAAGGGACAAATAACCACCTCCGGAGCTGGGCTGACCCGGCACGCGGCAGCGGGGCCGGGCGGTGTGTCGGAGCACGTGGAAACAAAGTGCTGCTCTGTGTTGGGGAAGCACTGGGGTTTTTTTTTTCCTTACCAGGGGTAAATGAGGAATCATCTTCTGTCTTCCCGGATTTTTATGGTTTTTGGGTCGTGTAATGAGTCAGCTCTAATGGAGAAGTCCCATGGAATTAAACAAGAGATGAAATCAATATGGTTCCATGGAAATATAATTGGGTTTTGTAGAGATTGCTCTTAAAAACCTATAAGGTGTAAAAGAAAATACGGCCTTATTGTAGTTTCTGAGCCATCATGTAACTGGAGTGTAACTATCCATTAAATTCTGCAGGATGGATCAAAAAATCCATAAGGAGGTTTTAATTCTCCATTAAATCCTATGGAAGAGCTGGAACAGAACAGTATTAATTTTCCCTGAGACAATGCTTCTTCCCTCCATTAGTCTGCAATAAGCTCAGGAACAGCTCCATAGGCAGCAGGTGTAGTCACACGTGCGTGTTGTTATGGAAGTTTTCCAAAGTCCCAATGGCTAAATAAAGCTTTATTAAAACGAAATTGTTAAGCTTAACTAATGTTTTCCTTCCCTCTTCCCCTTTTTGTATCTTTATTAAATAGGATTTGGCTTCGTAACTTTTGAAAATGAAGACGTGGTGGAAAAAGTCTGTGAAATTCATTTCCATGAAATCAATAATAAAATGGTGAGTTGATGGTGCTCCGCAGGGTGTCGGTGACAGCGAGTTCTCACCTCGGCTCATAGACATGAGCTGTGCCTGGGGGGTGGGTGGTGGCCCTCTGGGACGCCCCTCTGGGAGGTTGGTGGGGTGCTGGGCACGCTGTGCGTGGCAGAGGGGTGCTGAGAACAGGATGGTGCTGAGCCTGGCCCACGGCTGGCCCAGCCCCTGCTCCTGTCCCCCCGCAGCAGGATGGGGGTGTGTCCCCCATGGCACAGGCTCAGGCAGCCCCCCAGAGCACCTTTTGGTCGTGGGGAGGCCAAAGGACTGAGGATGGTGGGAGTTGTTGACCTGCTCAGCTTCTCAAGAAGCGTTTCTGCTCCTCCTCCTCCTCCTCCTGCCCACGCGGTTGGAGCCAGGGCAGCTGCTGAGCGATGGCATTAGGGGGGTTTGGAGGGAAGTGCCCTGGGGTGGCTCTTACAGCCCATGTGCTCCCAGAAGTGCTGTTCTGGCTGAGCTCCCGGGTCTGATCCTGCTCTGACGTGCCTGCTGGGCCGTGTCCCGGGAAGTCGTGGCTCTCTGCCAGGGAGCCACAGTCCCTTTCCACCCAGACCTGACCCAGGAGCCAGACCTGGGTGAAGTTCCTCCTCAGTGACAGGCAGGTCCCAGGTTGTGGGTTACCCTGTCAGTAAAGCCACTGAGCCAGATGAAAAGGGGCATTTGTATTTCAATTGCTGCACTAACTTTGATATTTTCAGCTAAAATATTCTTTTTCCCTTTGTCAAAACATCCTTTGCTTCTCAAATGTGTATTCAGATATGCATTGTATATTGGTCTGATATGTGTTCACAGACTTTAAATTCAATAATAGAGCTTTTAGTGTGGATAAGATCAAAGCAATCTCCTTGGCATATGCTGGAGGCCTGATTCAATATTTGACTTGCTAATTTTTCCCAGGGCACTGAAATAATATTCCTCATATTGTTCCTCACTGCAATATGCATCTGAAATAAAAGCGAGGGTCCCCTTGGCCAGCTGTGGGGTAGGATGGTGGGGCAGGTCTGGGGCAGTGCTCCTGGTCCTGTGGGAAGCCTCTTGCTCCACTTCAGGTGGATGCTGTGGGCTCTACCTCTGCCCTGGTCGAGCATCTTGCTGCCCATGGGCCCCTCCTGCCCTGGGGACTCCTGCCTGCCCCAGCTGCACCTCCCCTCAGCTACCTGTGGGGTGAGGGAAGGCTCGTTCCTCTTGATATAGTTACTAAATGCTGATTAATCTGCCTTAAAATTTAAGAAAAGAGCAAACCGCAACCACCCCCAGACGACAGACCCGGTAACAAATTAGGAAGTGCTTGGGATGTAAATTTAGGGATCGGCAGGTGGGAGGGCAGAGCTCCAGCGCCACGCTGCAGGATTTTCCTACCCACAGCAGGTGGGCACATGTCATATCACGCTCCATGGGTTTAGTTATTCCCACAATAGGCTTTTCTCTGGAGTAGGGCTCAGCCTTTGCCTGGCTCAGGATTGCCTGGCTGGGGTGCTGGGGGGGTGATGGATGGAGCAGCAGGTGCTGGTGTGTCCCGCTGCCAGCAGCAGGGCAGGGCACAAATGTTTGATGCTTCATCCCTGGGTCTGTACCCACGGACTAGAAAAGCCTCACCTGGTTCTTGGTATCCCCTGGGAGAGGAGAGTGGGGGAGAGCTGTTGAGAGGATCCCTTCCCAGGCAAAAGGCTGCATGGGAACATGACAGCAGCACAGGGAGTGTGGAGGATGGGACAGGGTGGAAACACTCAAGGAACATCACAAGGAGCCAGAGAAACAGTGTGGGCTGTTGGTGTTTGTTGTTGGATAATTAAAATACCTCCTGCTTGCTCGGTGCATGCTCCAGGTGCCACCGTGCTCTGAACGCTCTCTTCTTGTCACTTCTTCAGCACTAATTTTGAAAGCAGCCCACGAGCAAGGGGATGAGACATGATCCTGTTTTGGGACTGAGTCATCGTCTTGCTGATGTGTCTGCAGATGAATTGCCAGACCCACGCAGGGGCAGGAGAGCTCGTGTGTGTGCCGGGGAGCTGGGGCAGATGGTCCAGATGCCCAGGGTGACACCCAGCTGGCCAGGGGCAGCACTGGGCACGGATCTGCTTGGATCATGGCCCCCTGTAGCCTTGAGCTGTGGAGGGGACGGGCTCTCACAGCCCCAGCCCGAGGCGGTGGGGTTTGCACTGTTCCATGAGCTGGGACTGGGACACCCCATCCTCATCCCCATCCCTGTCCCCCTCCCTGTCCCCATCCCTGGCTGCTCAGCTGGGGTATCCACGGCTCTGTGGGCACCGACTCACCCTGAGCTTGCTCTTCCTCGTGTGCTGACCTCTGTCATTTCCCAAAACGCAGGGGCAAGCAAAGGGCAGGGGGTGGCTGCTCCCAGGCCTATTTCCAGCTCCTGTCTCCCTGGCAGGCTATTTTTAGCTCATCCATTCTACTTCTGTTGCCATCCGTAAAGCCTAGAATGTCAACTGTAATATTAAACGAGCAGTGGGGAAGTGAAAAGAAAATGCCAGGGAGGTATTTAATAAATGAAACTCGGAATTTACGTGGGAGGCCAAAGATGCTCCAAGCGTTGCAGGGGGACAATAAACCCAAACAAGCTGTCCCTGGATTATTGTTCCTTTGACAGGAGCAGGCAGCTTTGCAAAGACACCTGGTTTTCTAATGTGGTGCAGAAGTGGCTGGAAAAGAAATGTGATGGAGTAATTTATTTTCCCCTGGATCCCACTGTGATGGAGTCAGGGTACAGTGGGACACACGCTGCTGAGAGGGGCCATGAGCCAAGCCTGCAGTCAGGGTCTCACGTCAGGCTCTGGAGCAGCTGACAGAAATGTTGGGCTGTTCTAGAACAGGCTCTGACACTGCCCAGCACCTGTGGCTCTTCCTCTCTCTCAGGGTGGGGTTTTGTGGGGTTTGTGTTTCTTTTGTTGTGGGGTTTTTTTAGTGCACTGATGCTCTTCAGGTTCTCCCCAAGCTGTGTGGTGCCATTTCAGATGTGTCGGTCACAGACTGGTTTGGGCTGGAAGGGACCTTAAAGCTCATCTCATTCCCACCCCCTGCCATGGGCAGGGTCACCTTCCAGGTTGCTCCAAGCCCCATCCAGCCTGGCCTTGGACACTTCAGGGATGGGGCAGCCACAGCTTCTCTGGGCGACCTTGCTCGTGCCTGTTCCAGTTCAGCTGGTTCCAGGGCCTGCCTTTGATCAGTGATCTAATACATCAACAGACCCACGATCTAAGGCATTTTCCCAAATAAGCTTATAGCCTCTCTGCTGCTGCCTGGTGCAGCTTGCCATGGTGTGAGTGACATGGTGTCCCCAAGGTGAGCAAACCCCAACAAACTGCGGATCACACGTTTCTGGCACGACAAAGTCTCCTTGTCTGTGGGTGGTTCAGTGGGGGTTTGTGCATTGTGGATATTGTGCATTCTGCTTTCCTGAAAATAGCCCTGGTTTCCCTGGAAAGCTGTTAGCCAGCGTTTGTGAGACATCCTGGGCTGAGAGCTGACAGCCTGTTTTGTTGGCTGGGTATAAGAGGCTTTTCACTCCCCAGCTCTGCCCTCCTGGGTTCCCGTGGCTGCGACTGTTCTGCTTGACCCAGGAGTACCCCAGTGTAAGGTTCATTCTCCAAACTAGACTAAACAAAAATAGTGAATTTTAGTTTCCCTGCCTTTTTTTTGGTTTTTTTTAGCCTAAGAGTTAAACCTTTCTTTGTTGGGCTGCTGAAAGTGAAGCACATCCTTGTACAGGAAGGTGGAAAAAATCTGGAAATTATTAAGATGCCCAGAAACACTGAACTGAAAGTTTGAGTGAGGTCCAGATTTATATACAAAGACTCTCATCGGGCAGTTCTCGGGGTGATTTGATAAGGAGCTGAGCCCTGACTCATAAATCTGCATCCATTCCCTCTTGGAGAAGCCCCATTGCACATCGTGGCACACGATCCCTGCTGCCTCCGGGGTTTCCACTTGCAGTAACTGTGGCTTTAGGGTGATTATGGCCATCTCCATCCCTTCCCCATGAAGGACAGAGCTGGATTCTGGCAGAAGAGCAGCAAGCTCCCTTTTTTTCCTGCTTTTGCTGTTGGTGATGAGGCACCATCGAAGCCCCCTACGGATCCACTCACATTTTGCTTCATCTCTTCTTCTGGTATTGTCCCAGTTTGCTGATGGGCTGGTGTGTGGGCAGCTTCCCAGAGCACCTCATGGTCTGGCAGTGCTGCCTGTGGAGTGTAACAGTCTCCCCTGGGTGAGCTGCCTGGACTGGAGTCAGGCAGTCCTTTCTCCCAGGACGGCACAGCAGGGCCAGGCTCCCGGTCCCGTATCCCACCTGTCATCCCTCCCATGGGGAGAGAGTCTCTGCTGGGTAACAGAATATTCTCGCCCTCTATGTGGGGTATACTTGTTTACAGAAGCTTAGAAATTATTTTGCCTTCCTACTGGTGACTTTTTGTTCCCCTTTAAATCCTGGTTAAAACTCCTCTGCAGCTCACTGCCATTTCCTTTGTATCCTCGTGTGCTGTGGAATCAGAAGCGATGCCAGGCTTGCAGAGAGCAGCGGTGGGCTGGGTTGTGGTTGCAAAAGCTAATTACTGGGTTATTGTTTCTAACAGTGCTAATCCCAACTTCATTTTCCTGTTAATTGTCCGTCCATCCAGACTAGATGGGTTTTGTCATCCTGACTGTGCAGTGCCGGTAGCTGCGAGGTGTAAGCGGTGCTGCCGTGACAGTGGGAGCGGTGGCCATCCCCAAAGATGTGGCTGTGAAATGTAGCGGCACTTCTGGTGCTCCCCCCGTCATCTGAGTGGAGGAGTCAGATTGGCAGACTCCTGTGCAGTGATCCCCTGTTTAAAAATCAGCAGAGGAGAGTTTGGGAGGATGTTGCAGTGCTGGTGTGGGGGCGGTGGGAGGCTGGCGCTGGTGCTCAGGATTCTGAGCTCGCCGTGTCCCTGGGTTCTGGGGTGATTCATAGAATCACAGAATGGTTTGAGTCAGAAAGGACCTTAAAGTTTATCTTGTTCCACCCCCTGCCATGGACAGAGATGTGGGATAACACAGCTCACTATCCTGGTGCCCAGCAGCCCAATCAGGGACCGTGTGTTCATCGTCTCAGGAAAACCACCCGCCTGTTCCAAGGCAACCCCATCATTGACAATCCCAGGTTTATGCAATTTTCAGTAGGCACCAGTCCCTGATCGGGCTGTTGGGCACTGGGATAATGATCCTTGTTATCCCACATCCCAGGTTTGCCTGGAGCAGCTGCCTGCTCACATGGGACACCTTGTACCAGGGGTGGAGGGATTGGGAGACCTGGAACCAACCCTCCTCAACAAATAGCCCCTTCCCGGCCCCTGCACCGTGGCTGTGCCACCATGTCTGCTGGGAGCCCTGCTTCCACTCTGGAATGGCCAGGCAAGGGCTGAGGGGAGTGTAAACATGCACAGAGCATCAAGGGACTGGTTGAAAAACAAATTAGAGGCACGAAGCTCAAACCTGTGGATTCAGCTCTCAGACAAGCGGTGCTCATCGTGCAAACCGTGCAGGTGGGGTGTCCCCGCACCCAGGCAGCTCTGGGCTGTGTGGCTGCACATCACCCTGTTGCTCAGAGCATGGACTGAGGTGTAGAGCCATAGGAATGGGTTCAGCTAACTCCAGTTAGCTCCAAACCAGCTGACTGGTGCGACTGTAGCACCAGTGCTAAGGGGACCACAGGGGCAGTCACCTGGAGGGGTGAGCTGGCATTGTGGAAAGTTGCTTTATTTCTCCCTTTTCCTGGTCAGAAAGGGGGTGGCTTAGGGTGCTGGATGTCCTGCATGTCCTGCTGCCCACAGAGCTGGATCAGTGTCTCACACAGGGATCACTCTGTGCTTCCAGAGGCATTAAGAAACTTCCAAAGGCAGCGGGAGTAACTGGAAGAATGCAGATCCTTTATTAATTGGGTTTACAGAAATTTTCTGCTGGGTAGAAATATTGATTCTTTATTCCTATTTTAAAAGGAGCTTTTTGTAATGATCACTGGGAGTCGTTTTCTGTTATCGATTGCAAGGGAGCTGTGCTGGAGCCCTCCCTCCATTCATCCCGTCCCACGAGTGCCGGTTTTCCTTTCAGGAACACGGAACTTCTTAAATCAGCATTTCTGTCATCTTTGGTGGGGGTGGGTGCAGTGGGTGGTTAAAGAGACATACACGTTTGCTCTCTTAAATCTGGTTATGCTATTCTGAAAGTTCACCTTTGAGGGGGAGGAGGTGTGGGGAGGCAAACGCTAAAAATAAACCTCCCCCCTTAAGTAGATCAGTTCTGCATTTGACATTTACATGGAATTCATTTGCATCTCATTTGTACATGTTTCTGCTCAATAGGTAGAATGTAAGAAAGCACAACCTAAAGAAGTGATGTTTCCACCAGGGACGAGAGGAAGGGCACGTGGATTACCGTATACCATGGACGCTTTTATGCTAGGGATGGGAATGTTGGGTAAGTGCCGGAGCCACCGCGCAGCTCCCGGGGCCGGAGGCTCCCCTGTTGTCTCCCTGATTTCCAAACCCTGAAACTGTAGGGGTGAGCAAATCCCTGCACCTGTGTGGGTGCGAGGCTGAAACTTTAGCAGGGGTGGAGTGGAGAAAATAATCCTGTCTGTGGTAAATGATTAACTCCCCCCCGCCTGGAATATAAAAAATTTGCATTTAAATGGATGTTTTAAATAGCCTGTTTTACTCTTACTCGCAAAAATAGAATGATGAAAGATGCAGTGTGTTCATTCTGACTAAAAATGATCTCTCCCCTTTTTTAGAGGAATTGAGTCACACATTATTCCCCTTCTTTTAAAGGTAGCTTTGACAGTTCAGCATAGATAATTGAAAATCTTGCTGGTTCTTAAATGACATGGATGGAGGAAGCGGGGAGATGCGTAACAGGACAGGTCGCAACAATAATTACAAGTTTCAAGGAGATGGAATGGTATTTTAGTCCTGAGTATTGTGTCCAGAAAATACTAATTAAATGGGATAAACGATATTTAATGGCAATATTCTATTTGTGCGCGAGGTCTATTTAGTTATAATTGGTTCTCATTTGTTTCTGCCTAGATAGTTGTTCTTTGTATATAACGTGACAACCTCTGGATACTCTCTCCTCAGCCAAAAGGCTGCAAATCCATTGCCAATGTTCTTTTGTAAAACCCCATATATTTTCAACTTTCTGCTTTGTATCCCTGAACTTTCCCTTGGTTGTCTCATGCTGTGTGCATAAAACTTGTGGGAATAAGGGGGCATCTGGAGGTGTCCTCTGGCAGCAAAGAGCCTTTCCCAGGCTCATGTCCCTGATGTGTAGCCTCTCTGGGATGCTTTGAATTTTCTGTCCTGTGTTTAGATGATCCCACAAACTGAGCACAAAAGCCCTTGGAAGCTGGGTTGCCCTGAGCTCTGCCAAGCAGGTCCGGGGGCTGCCTGAGATGCTGGAGGACCCCAAAGCCCCTGGGGTGGGCATCAGGTCAGAGGACTTGGTTCCTATGAGGATCAGGCTGTTGTGCTGAGGTGTCTGACTCCAGGCACCGCTTGATTTGATAGGAAAAACTCCCTGCCATGTTTGCTTTATCTCTGAATTAATAGTACTTCTGTTCGTGTGGCTGGAGCGATCCATTTCTGGGACGTGTAATTGGGTTATTTCGGCTGATCATCTGTTTTGCTGTCCCCACGCTCCACCGCCACCCTGCCCCATAGTGTTTGGAAATTACATTTTCTGCTTAAAATATTTATCTTGCTCTAGTCAGTCCATGATTTCGTTACCTGTGTGTTCTCAGTGTGCTCGAGCAAATGTACTTGATTTCTGATTTTGCTTCTCCGCCGGCGGTGCCCGGGGTTGGGCTGGTGGAGGTGGTGGGGCCACCGTGCTGGCCAGTCCTCCTGGCTGCAGGAGGAGAGAGTCCACGCCACCCTGGGAAGCCAGGAAGATCCATGGCATCATCATCCCTCTTGTGCCCACCACGTGGCCTCAGCCCTTCTCCTTGTGGCCGGGCAGGGGGTGAATGGAGCCGGGTTCGCCTCAGTGTCCTGAAGGGAAGATTCAGCGCTCGGGTGCAGCAGCAGTCACTCCCACCGGAGCTGCCCCTCCGGGAAGTGATTGTTTCAAGCTGTGAGAAGTAAGGGAAGAAGGCCTCAGCAAGTGGATCTGCACAGAGGAAGAGATGGGACCTGCCAACAGGTGCCCCAACTGTGTCCTGCTGCAGTGGTGGGTCTGGGCCAACCCAACCGGCGCTGCTCCAGCAGGGCCCGTACCGCGCTCTCCCTTCATTTCCAGTTGGGGTGACTTGCTCAGCACTAATGATTGATCCATGGTGAAAGCCAGGTGCTTCATTATCCACTCTAGATGGTGTTTCATCTTCCCAGTTCCTGCTTGCTGCAGTGGCACCGTGTTAAATAATTAAGTGCTAAACAAGGAGATTGCAGTGCGGGAGAGCAGAGCAGCCTGGATGGCCGTCAGAACCCCCCATTTCAAGGCTGCTGGGCCCGTCCCCGTGAGGAGAGGGGTGTAATTAACCCATCAAATGACAAGGCACAGAATCCCGTCACGCCGGAGGCAGCATCTGCCACAGCAGAGTGTTCTGCGGGGTCTCAGGAGGCCGGGTCAGCGCTATCCTGTTCCTCCTGTTCCGTGCCCAACTGGCCCAAACCAGAGCAAGTGGGACTGCTCTGGAAGGATTTTTGTACCTGTTTGCAGAAGCCCTTGTTCAAGGTCACCTTCTCCAGCTGCTATTCACGGGCAGAGGAGGGAATCAGAGGAACGAACGCACGAGACAACCCAAAGGAAGGAGCAGGGAGCGACTCCCTCCAAAGCTATTAAGGAAGTTGGTCTTTTTCATTAATCACAGCCTCCCCAAGGAGCCTGCAGCAGCCGGGGTCTAAAGGTGCGCAGGCAGCCGCTTCTGTGATGATTTGGTTGATTGGAGCAAAATTAAAGTGTTCTTCTGAACGGATTTTTTGACTCGGAGAGCGCGGGCAGGCTGAGCCGTCTGCCAGGAATGCTTCTGGGCTGTCTGGGGCTCGGGCTGCTCGTGGGACACACACGGTCTGGGGGAGAGCAGGGGCATTAATGAGCCTCTCTGCACAAAGAGCGGTCGGGGCAGTTTTGGTTCCACCAATCTCCCTCCCTCTGTCAACCCACCTTCCCTGTCAGGAAGAGCTGCTCCCCAGCCCTGGGGATGCTCCTGTGTCCCTCCCTGCACACATCTGTGGCTGAGTGGGAGCAGTTTGGTGACCAAGAAGTTCACCCTGTGCCTGGAGCCTCGCCACTGTCAGCTGGTCCTAGCATGCACTCCAGGAGCCTGTCACCCAAGGACATGATGGTGTCACATGTTACCCCACAGCTTGTTGCCCTCTGTTCAGATCTGTGCCTGCAAACTTGAAAAGAAGAGAGAAAAGAAGAAAGCAACATGAAGAGGAAGTGGTCTCTGTCTGCCCTCCCATCTGAAGCTGCTCTCTGGGAAGTGGCAGCCACCATGGCAGTGGTCCCGGTGGTGACACCCAGATCTGGATGTGACCCTGAGATGAGGCCCCATAACACTCATTTCTCCTGGCAGTGGGCATCTTACTGGTGTTTAATGTTAAAGTTGTGCTCCTTTAACTTGCAAATCCCTCCAGAGACAGGAGCACTCGCCCCCCAGAGCTTACACCCCTGGAGTGCCAGAGTGATGTCCGGTAGGATCCCCGGCTTTGGGAAGGTCTCTACCAGGGCTGTGTGTTCCTGCACGCGCTCAGTCTAGGTAGGCTGAGCTCATGCATAAAAGAAGCTTGTGCCCTTCAAAGAAAGTCATTCCTTTTTCCATCAGACACTGTTCAGTGGAGTAGCAGCTGCCTCTGAGGCAGGTTCCGATGGGGAGCCCTCGGTTAGCGCAGGCTGCCCCAGAGGCTGGCACGGTGCTCCAGCACCGCGGGCTCTGGCAGCAGCACCCGCCGCCGATGGGCACGGCTGCCATCAGTCACATCACTCCTGAGTCCTGTGAGAGGAGACAGGTCAGCCCAGGGCCAAGGGAGAAGCTTCTCCAGCAGATGTGTTTCTCCCCTCTAGCTGCTTCCCAGGATGTGACCACCCGTGTGTCTGTAGGAGACTATTTTTGGCTTTCATTCCTCCATGCCACAGGTGCCTCTGTCAAGGTCACAGCACGTTTCTTTTGGGAAAGACCCTCAGGATTGTTGTTGCAATGTGGGACTGTGCTTTGGAGGGAAGAGCCTGCCTTCCCTTGCAAATGACCTGGGGCTCCTCAGAGCAACATTTGGAGACAATCATTTTCTTGCATTTATTAGAGCATTTGACTTAATTTTTCAGATCTCCTTGATGTGCTCGGTGTTCCCACATTTGGAGCATGAGCTTTGTACCTCTCAGACCACCAGATTTTAAAATGAAAAGACATTTCCATAGGCTGGGCAGGAGCTGGGTGGAGGTGGAGGTGTGAAAGTGGTTTGATTGCTGATTTGAGTTCTGCTTCCAAGGGCAGGAGGGTCTTGCTTCAGAGGAGGGGAAAACTTGGAATTTTGGTTTACCAGCAAGGGATAGTTAAAGGGATTGATCATTCCCCAGGACTACCAAAGCAAATCAACTGCTCAGTGCCCAGTGAGGGATGAGGATGGCGCCTAATGGGAATGTTGGGTAGGTCAGCATGGCCATGATTTGGCTTGATGAAGCATCCACGTGGGCGCGGCGTTAACGCGCTATTGATATTCAGCCAGGCAATTTCTCCGTGTGGATCAGGCTTCGAGTCGTTAGAGCAGAGCCGGGCACTGCAGCAGTAAATGAAGAGGAAAATTGAAGTAATGTTGTATTATAAATTTATGATTTCATCTGCCTGACTTAGGGAGCGTTGAGCGCTGGCGGTGCCGGCAGAGCCCCCGGGCAGCTCGGCTGGTGCCGCAGCCATCGGGCACAGCCATGTGTGGCCAGGGAGAGTGGGGCTGCAGCAGGACTGCCCTGGGGTGGAGGCAGGACCATCCCAGGGCAGGCAGCAGATGAGGTGGCATCCAAAACCATTGTGGGCAGTTGCCATCTACCACTGTGCCAATCCAGCCAGGACCAACCTGCAGACCTCAGGTGCTGCCCAGCACATCAGTCCCCTGCACCCCAACAGTCATGGGCTGGCAGATCTGCTTCAGTGTTGTCTGAATCAAAATAAAACTTCGTTCTTTCCCTTGGCAAGGAGAGAGGCTGCGGTCGGACGCCGCAGAGTGATTTTTCAGCAGTGGTGTTAATGGCGCTACTTACTTAGCAAACAATCCATTTATCAATAGGGTTGTTTAAAAAAAAAAAGTAGAAAGGAAAAAAGGTTTGTAAAGCTTAACTCTGAAAGATCTGATTTAATGACAGAGGTGATTAGTTTCTAAGGGAATCCAGCTGTTGAGCTGTGAAATAAATAGTCAAGGGCTAAGCGGTGTGTACATATCGCTGAGAGCGCGATGTGCTGGCCGGGCATCGCAGGGCTGCCTTGGCTTGGCACTGCTTAATCCCATCATCAGAATTCATCCAAGCATTTTTATCTTGCAGTTTTAGATTATGATTAATAGTACGTTATATGTATATGTGAATGTGATCGGAAATGGAGGGACTTGCTGCAGCAGGAAAATAGTCGTGTGATGGATGAGAGTATTAAAGGATAAATAAAAGCAGAGGTGGGAGCTCCCCAGAAGAGCCATTTGGCTGCTGAACGGGGTTCTCAGCCTCCAGCCCAGTTGCTGCCAAGATTCCCACTGACTTTAGATAGTGGGAGCAAACTTTTCCTGATGGTTTCTTGATCTGGAGAGGTCTGGGCTGGCGCTGAGGATCAGCAGGGATGTTGCATTAAGTGCACTGGAATTGCAAAGAGCGGTGCCTGTTTTTAAGAAAACTGAGCGAGGAGAGGTTGAGGATCTGTGGGAGGTTAGAATTCTAGGAAACCTCCTGAGTGTGCAGGACACCTTGGGCCATCGGCTGTGCTGGTCAGAGCAGACAGCCGCGGTGGGACCACAGAGAACAGCTGCTCTGTGTAAGGGTGGGGAGGTTAAAACCGGGGTCACAGTGCGTGACCCCAGGGTTGCTGCCACCAGGACACAGTCAGGGACTGGTGGGACCTCCAGCATGTACACAAACAGGAGAGTGAAGCCCCCTCCCCTGGCCTGGCTGTCACTGCCTGTGGTCCCAGCACCACATAATGAGGGCAGACCCTTGGCCAAGCACCACAGGGCCAGCAGCTGAGTGGTGGCACCAGTGTCCATCAACACCCTCCCTGAGCTCTGCCTCACATTCCAGCTGCTCATTCCAGTGGGCAGGGTTACCACTCTGTGCCTTTACTGAGGCTTCTTTATGAACAGAATGATCTCAGATGGTTTCTTCTCCTAATCACCCTCCCCAAGCTGCCAGAGGTCGACAGCGTTGCTGCTCTACCTCAGAAATGGCTCTCGGAAGCGCCTCGCGCAGCTTCCTTTTACTTTCCTGAAAAATTAAAAGCTCTTTGACTCCCTGGCTCGTTTCTGCTGCTGCAGAAACTCTTTGATGTGTTAACTGTTGTCCTTCACACTCCCAGGATAAAGAATTACTACTACCTTAATCTCCAACTGTCAATAGCTCTGAAGCAAAGTACATTCATTGTAAGCTCTCCAAATGTCAGAGCAAACCCGTGTTATGTGTTTAGCCTTAGCATTTGGCATTTACTCTTCCAGCTAACAAGTATGCACAGTCCTTGGGCTCCAGACACCAAAGTGCATGTTAATTACCGAAGTGACAGGGCTCCTGCTCGGAGCTGGGCCAGCTCTAGATGTTTCTATTCAGGGTAATGATGAAACCTCTCTGCAGTTTGGCATGAGCAGAATAAATCTGATTTTTTAATACCTTCTGTAAAATCAAGTCTCACCCATCCTTCCTGTCATTGTGTATTGTATTTAAAAAAAACCCTCTTCATTAATCCTCAAAATCTCTCTCTCTCTTTCTGTTTTCTTTTACATTTCTGTGGTCTAGGTTACCCGAATTTTGTGGCAACGTATGGCCGAGGATATCCTGGATTTGCCCCAAGTTACAGTTATCAGTTCCCAGGTATGTACATTTCATTTGCAGATTTGCTTTATTTCCCCTCTTTCCTTCTTTTTTTTTCCTTTTTTTTTTCTTTTTTTTTAGTTTTTGTTTGTTTGTTTTCTTTTTTTGTTTTCTTTTTTTTTAATCCGTAGCTGCAAGCTGAGACAGGCAAGTCTGCAGGGAGCATCTCACACAACAGCAAATATTTTTTTATTTTTTTTTTTACTATTTTAAAAATAGATATTTATAGAGACATATTTTAAATACATTTTTCCTAACGTGTAAATTGGTACTGGTTATTTGAAAACAAACTTCTTAAATTAAAACATAAAGCAAGAGAGATCACTGAAGAGCTGTTACCCTCCCTTTGATGGGTTTTTCCTTTCATATATATTATAGAGCTACACACAGACACGCACACGCACACAGAGACCCGCACACACCTTCCCGTGCTGTCCTGTGGTAAGTGAATATTCAGCTTCGGAGTGAAAAGTCCGACCTTCCTGTGTTCTGTGTGGGGGTCTCGGGGGTCCTTCACTGAAGTAGTTTGGCGTGTTGGTGGTGGAGTTTGGTGTTGGTTGGTTCCCCCTCTCCTTGGCGTAGCCGGGGCTGGGGTGACTGCACAGCACAGCGGGGTCAGGAGGAGATAAATCAGAGAACCATAGAACGCAGTGGTTTGGGCTGGAAGGACCCTTCAAAGGCTATCTAGTCCAACCCCCCTGCAATGAGCAGAGACATCTTCCACTAGATCATTGCTCGGAGTCGTGTCCAGCCTGACCTTGAACGCTTCCAGGGATGGGGCCTCCAGCAAAGCCCATCCAAAGCCCCTTGTCCTTTCCAGCACATCCACGGTGGGACTGACACCACGCAGGACAGGGAGTTTCCTTCCCTTCCACCCTGGGGCTTTCCCAGCAGCAGTGCTGTGTTTGTGGCTGAAGCCCCGCCTGGCCACTGTGAGACCCCAGCGGGCCTTGCCGTAAATTCGTGAGCGCCCTCATCACAGGGGCTCGCACCCTGCAGCTCCACCACCCCCTGCCGCGCTCCTCGGGGCTCAGAACAACGGGCTGGGAGCTTGGGGTGATGGGGAAACCAAGTGAACCCCCTGTAGTGAGCAACAGCAGGGCAGGAGGAAAACCAGCATGCTCACAGGAAGGTCCTGTGGGATGGGTGGGGATGTGGATGGATGCTTGGCTTTACCTCTGGCTGGGCAGACACAGAGCCTTGTGTTTGGCCCTGGGTCGTTAGGATGAGACCCTGCTTTGGAAGAATGTGGATTGTCATCATCTGTAGGACGAGCAGTGTCCTTGGGATGGGGCTTTTGTGCAGCTGGTTTTTGCAGGACTGATAACACCAAGGGTAGCAGCGCTGTGAGGGTTTATTTTCTGAATCCTACCAAAAGCTCAGCCATCTCTTCCCGTCTGTGCTGCACCCTCCCGGGCCAGGCCCGAAACAACCAGGGTGTCAGTGGATCTGGGCAGGACAGGGAGGGCCAGCAGCAATGGGTGGCATGGTGCTAGTGGGGACAAGGCAGGTGACCCCCTGGAGACCCCACTGCTGCTCCACTGGAGCCAGGGGGAGAGTCCAGTCCTGCAGGATTGCAGCTGGGAGTTGGATGTGAGGAGGAGGCTTCAGCAGGCGCTTGTGTCTTGTCTCACACTCTCCTCCTGTTCCTCACGATTCCTTGTGGCAACTGATACGTATGAAGGCACTGAAAGAGAGACTCCTTTGATAGGTTTAATGATGGAAATCATCAGAGCTTAGATGAATTTAATTATAAACGTCTAAAACGAACGTGTCTGCTGCCTGGCAGCAAAGGCACCCTTCAACTCGAACCCTCCTTAGATATATTTTTGTTAAGGGCCTTGTTTTCCCAAAGCAGGCCTTCCAGTTACTGCCTGGCTATTTTCAGTCTCCTGCAGAGATGGAACATGGAGAAAAAGATCCAAGTGGGTTGTCAGCACTAAAAAGGTGCACCAGCTGTGGGCCATGGGGAGCCTGCAGGAGCCGGGCAGTGCTGGGACACGCTCAGGGTCCTGTCTCACCTTGTTGGGTTTCCCTGCCCCAAAGCTCTGCCCCTGCTCCACTCCCACTCAGATCATTCTTCCTTAGCAATCAGAACCTTATCAGAGTTGTTGGGGGGTTCTCAGATGATTTGGAGCATGACCTATCAGAGCGGTGCAGGGCATGGGAACCTCCTGGCCAGAGCACAGCATCCCGGAGGGGTCAGGGCTGGCAGCAGGATGGGGTGTCCCCCTTGCTGGAGCAGGTGTTTGGGGACAGAGAGCCCAGTGCCAGGGAGCCATTTGGGAGCAGGGCAGGAGCTGAGGACAGGGATGTGCTGACCCTTCCCCTCGTGCGTTTTGGCACTTGCAGAAGTGCTTGTGGGGCTCGTGGTGTGGCTGTGTCTTGGAGTGTGGGACAGGCATGTGCAAAACAATGGAGAGGAATCCAAAATCTGGTTTTTTAGTAAGTTGTCAGGTCCAAAATCTTAATGTTGTGATTTGGAGAGAGAAATTCTCAGCTGTTTCTGCAGGAGCATCCTGGGCTGTTGGTCTGAGAGCTTCCTCTGCCTCCCGGCTCCGCGACACCCAGCCGTGGTGGTGGTCAATGTAAACGTGCATATCAATGTACAGTCACACTCCTGGGGTTCCTCTGGGGGGAGGGCTGGCAGTGTGTGTGACACAGTGCAGTGTGTTCTGCAGGTGCCCGTGCTCCGTGTGCTGGGCAGGGGCCGGGCTGGCGTCACCCCGGAGGGTGTCGGGGCAGAGCTGGGCTGGCACAGGCACCGTCCCAACTGGGCTCCTGGTCCATCCCAGCACAGGTCACACTGCCCTAGTTACTATTTCAATACATTAAGACCAAAAAAAGGGAATTCCTATCTGGTTGAACTGTCCTGATGGTATTTACTGTTGTCCAAGTGAAACGAGGTACGAGTGCCACACCCCACCTGTTTGCACTCCCATTCCCATGTCCGTGGTGGGCACGGCACTGCTGGAGCTGCGGGCAGGGTCCCCTCACAGCCTGTCCCACATCCTGTCCCACATCTCAGCCATTTCCTATGGCACAGGACAGCCCCTGACTCCATGGACAAGACACATGCAACCCTTTGGTGACTGCTCTGTCCCCTCCCATCCCGTTATTCCCTCCATCCCTTCCTCATACAATACATTGCCTCTTTTATTTTAATTGCAATCACTCCCTTTCTGTGTCTCTTTTTTATTTTATTTTTTTTTTATTTCTGGGACTTATCTTTTCAGTTTAATCTATTAATTTCTGTTCTTATTTCACTTTGCAGACTATTTGCCGATTTCACAAGACATAATTTTTATCAACTAGTTCTTAAAGATGCATAACAAATTAATCGGGGTTTACTACAGTGCTAATGAGAGAGAGACAGAGAAAGCCTGGGTGGTCCATGTTTAATATCACTGTCCACTGAAAAATTGCTGCTCTTACTGGCTGGTTTGATTGACTGGACTTTTTATTTTATTTTTATTTTTTTAAAGGCTCCATATCCTCACTGCTTTGAGTTTGCTTTTTATTTTTTTTTTATTATTTTTTTTCCTCTGCTTTGTTATGAGTTTTTAATGCCCACTTGGAATGTAACTCACAAGGATGGGGTCAGGGGCGTTCCGAAGGCATGACTTCTCACAAACTTCTTAGAAATGGTTTTATCAATGAAGTAGGAAGGGTGATTGGGTTGATTGGGTCTCACAAACAGCCCCAACGAGAGCGATTGGCGCTTTTTAACGTGGGGACACCCAGCAGTAGCACAAATGGGATGCAGGGTGGAGCAAGACGGGTGTCTCCTGTCCCTGGGATCACGAGCAGCGCAGGGTGTAATTATTCCAGTTAGTGACCCGATGGCTGCCACAGAGCACCCGTGCCCTCAGTCCATTCCCTTGGGTCGGGGGCTCTTGGAGAGCTGCCACAATCACACAGAGGCCACGGTGAGGTGCCCCCAAGAGAGGGGCCGAGGCAGTTCCTGCCCCCAGAGCGATCCCTGCCCCGCTCCCAGAGCCCGTGGAGCTCTGAGCAGCCTGCTCTAGTGGAAGGTGTCCCTGCCCTGGGAACGAGGTGAGCTCTAAGGTCCCTTCCAACCCAAACTGTTCTGGGGTTCTGTGATCCCAAGCTCTGACCGCCCCTGCCCCGCAGCCAGCGCAGCTCCTGCACACTCCTGCACCCGCTCCTCCTTCCAGACTTCGCTTGCAAATCATGGGGGAGTTTCCTAAATTCTGGCCAAGCTTTCCCTGCTTAAGCTGCATCTTGCACCTCTTCATCTCCACCCAAATCGCAGGGGAGCTGCAAAGCTCCTGCCATTGGCTTTAACAAGGCTGGATTCTGGACTTTTGGGTAGAAAACACACACTATATTTAAAGTCTGCTTCTCTTGAAGTGTTTCTACCCATTTGATAAGTTTGTGAGAAGTACGTTGCATGCTTACAGTAGAACTGTAATGCATTTTAATGTTTGTTAATCCACTTGTTTAAAATGTCAGTGTCAAAGGCTCTACAATCCACGGCTGTGCTGTTCATTTCATTAAAGATGCTTGATGTAATAATTGGGTAGTTTTCTTTTGACTCTTCTGCAGGCAATAGCTTTTTTTAATCTGTATGGCTTCTTATTATTTTGTTTGGGTTTTTTTGCTATGAATTGCTTTGCTTTTGTGAACTTGTCTTAGTGTGCATGATTTGCAAACATTTCGGCTATTGTGAATTTTCTCATTTTTTGTAAATAGTCCATCTGTGCTTTTCTTTTTTTTTTTTCTTTTTTCTTTTTTTATGACTTTTTTTCCTGTAAGTAACTGAGGTAGAAAATAATAATAAATTGTTTACAACGGATCTGCTGTGTTGCTGCTCTCTTAGCTTGCAGTTTTAATATTTGGGTTTGGACGCCCCAAATAACCAGTACCAATGACAGTTGAATAAAAGAATAAAACAACCATCACTCAGAGTGTGTGACCCGGTGTTTGAAGAACCTGCAGAGGAACAGTCACGTATGAGGTGTGTTTACAGCAAAAAT